GTAATAACTCTATGGGTGAAACATGGTACTCCCAGAAACACACAGGAGCAGATGAGTGGCCTATACATGGTTTGGGCACAAGACTTCTTGATCGTGACAGTTGGGAGTGCTACAACCAAGAAAAAAAGGTCCTCTAACAAAACCTCACGAGAGGCCAAATAGTCAGGCACAAGACATATTGACTTAGTAGGTCTAAACAGTAGAGCTAGCGGAGCCCTAGCCCAGGTTTGACGTCTACATTCATTGCAACCAATGTCCAGGGTATGAAAGTCCTCCTGCTATGCAAAATTTTCTTCAATAGTTTTTCTCAAATTTTTACCTGATTAAGACAGCTAAAAATGTTTTTCACAAGTGCCTTGTATCCTGAATTCCATAAATGCCGTGTTGAAATTACTAAATACGCCCGCGGGCAACATATTTTGTAAAAAAACTGTTGAAAAAAATTTTGCATAGTAGGAGGACTTTCATAACCTGAATGTTAGTCGCGTTTTCTCACAATGCAATGTAGACTTGTCCAACCTGGGCTAGCGGAGCCCATATACAGAGGCTCAAAATAAAATTACTCAAGGTAGGGTCGAACCAGACTCTTAAAAGCCTGGGCTTTTACATGGACTGAATCGCTTCCTGATATCTGGCCTACCTGCAGCGTAGCAATCAACAAAAAACTGCAGCTAACCAAAGCAGAGATAGGGCGCAAATATTTGGGGGCAAAATTCAAAGCAACCGCTCATGTGCGCCGCCATCTTGGAACTGTGCAATGTCTGGTGAGGGCGCTGTTCAATTGTTCGCAATGACAGATTATTGCTCAAGACGAACAACTGCAAGAAAGGGTTGGATATTTTATTCAAAAGGCATGTTAATCCATGGTCAACTACTATACGAGCATTCAGATAAGACATGCATCCACACCTACCCTCTTTAGATTGATCCACATAACTCACTTGCAAAGTGCAGACAAAATTCAAACATTTTCACAACACTGATACGCATTTTGTGCATGACAAGTACCAAGAAAAAATGGTTAACGTTCAAGAGTTAAAAAATCAACTACTGAAGCAAAACATTTTGTCATGTTTACTTGAAACAATATGATAAAGCAGAGATGTAACTTTCTGTTGACAAAGATGTTCAAATTACATCACAAATTAAAACCAGAATTTTCTGCATAATGCACAAACTACAGAGAATTAAAGCGGTTCTCAAAGCAAATCCACTTCAACTGTTTATTCTGTATCGTTTCCAACACTCAAGATGAATGATAAAGAAGTAAAAGTCTAATCCCGTTTCCATGGTACTGCCTGCTGGATGTGGTTACCACGGCGACAGTCCGTCAAAGAGAAGCTTCTGCTTCCTCACCTCCAGGTTCTTGGGAGTCCCACCAATGAAGGAGGCTGTTCGAGGAAACAAGGGGGAAAAAGTAAGAGAAACATGCGAGAAGGGAAGTAATTTTCATACTAGGAATCTCGAGTCTACTTGACAGATTGCCTTGAATACTGAGAGTTTAAATAGAGTGTCATTGTTAAAACCAAGTCCATATAGTCACAGTTTTCTACATATTTTGCAAAATAAATACTGCAAAGGGAACTACAACTATCAAACTTACTGCTCTGTGTCTGCTTTTTCATCAAAATTTTCATAAAGCGCACTGCAGAAAAGAAATGAAATGATTGGCTTTTTAAGTGAACAGTAAAAGAAGAAACTGAGAGATATAAGTTAAGCAAAGACAAAGACGACATGAGTCAGGAAATATGCAAGACTTTTTCATCAAAGGGCCAACTTCAATTCAGTACGAGAAATTAGTAACAAACTGGTATCTGGTAGCATAGACAAAAAAAAAGCACAGACATAACCAAAAAAGCACTACATAATCGCAAAATTTCGAACATGCTTTGACCCCAACAGCAGAGAATAAAGAATTTTAAATGTCAACAATCCTAATCTGTAATGTTGACATTTAGAACAGTGACTGACTGATCTAAATTCCTGTTTGACACATCTATCATTTAATTTAAATATTTGAGCACAGGGCCACATGTCCTAAATCATCTATAAATCCTGATTAACTTTTAAGTGTTCAGGGAAAGACACATTTGATTACCTTCTTGTATCCGTTTTTTTATCATGCAGTTAACACAGCGTGAGTGGCAGCACAGACAGCATTAGTATGCACATGAAGTCATTCCACAAGCCGCTTAAAGCAACTCTGTGTACCTTCAAAGCTGCTGTGAGTGGCTTAATGTGTTAGAACATGATCTCAAAAGCCTGAACTCAAAATCCATAACTGTTGTTATCACGTTTGGGTCAGAACCTGGGCAGTCCAACAGGGTAGAGTTTTCAAAACCAACAGGGCAGGGTTCTTAAAAAGGGTGGGTGAAAAAACAATCAAATCAACTGTCCAGGTAAGTTCAAGGATCAAATCAATAAAACTTAAAAAGGTCAGAAGTGTTTATAACCAAACATGCTTTTTTTCTGTTACGAACCTTTCTGGTAAGTCTTATTTTGTGAGCTGAACTGTGTTGTAAGAAAATTGTCTAATGAAAGATTTAGTAATAAAACTGTGCATATCAGAAAGTTTAATGTGTTCTTTCAAGTTGACACTTAATATAATGTAGAATTACAATAAATGAGTACTGTATAAGTTTAGGTTCAATCCTTCATTTAAAAATGAAAAATTACTATTACAATTTCAGCCGTCCTCTATTTGAATACAATCAACTTTCTAGTTCAGAAATAAATACAATTATTTACAAATATACAGTGCTTGAAAAAAAACACAGTATCATAAAATATGCTGAATTTCTAACATTTGATGTTTGGACTTGTTTTTAAGTACACGTTAAACTGGACAGCCATCTACATTCAAATGGGTCTAAGTTAAACGGCTACAAAAAGGTCAGACATTGCATTACAACTCCAGCAATCATGACACTGTGAGTCCTCAGAAGCTCTGTCCTCATTGGTTAAAAGCACTTATAGCAGCTCATACATATTTATAGGCAAACAAACAGGTTCCATAGGTCATTTCAAAGACCAGATTGAAAAGTTTAGACAAACACACATTTCTGATACTTAACCTTAGTTGTACTTTTTAAAGAATGACAAATTCCTACCTAGGCTCCTTCCAGAATCCTCCAATATCCACCAGAGCAGTATATTCCCTGTATTTGAATTTTTCACAACTTGTGATCAAAATCCTTCTAAATCCTAAAAAATCCTATGGAGATCTCCTGGTGGATTTTGATGGATTTGGGGGATTAGGGTTTCTCTCTTCCTAATAATAAGTCGAGAAGATAGCTGGAAAGATCATGGAAATGAAAACATGCATTAAACATGACTTTTTGGAACATGCTTTAAGATAGCGTTAGTTCATTGCGTATTTACATGCAGTTAGGATATGTACTATATCAGCAAATCACATGTTATACCGTTTATTTCAAGAATCAATGATTTTATTCTCTAGCACCCAGATACTCTGTTTCTTCAGTATTTATGGCAAGATTTTTCTTTCAAAAGTAGACATATCAGTAAAATTCTTTTAACTGTCCTTTCTTCTACAAACAGAAATCCAGCACAATTGAACAATACTATAAATATCTTAAAAGTGGGGTTCAAATTTCTACAGACCCCCCATCACCAGTTGATTTCTGTGATTACGATAAAGTTGTATTAGAGAATGAGGCATAACTATCAATGCCTTATCAATAGAGACCAATTCCACAGAGCTAATGCATGGGAACTTGGGAA